AAGTCGCGGAAGGTGGGGGAGCGCCTCAGACGGCGGTAGAACCAGAAAAAGGGGCGGGCCAGGTGGTCGAGGAGGAGAACCAGAAAGCAGATTCCCATGGCGCCCAGGTAGAAGGAACCCAGCACGTACACGCCTACCTTAAAGCTCACCCACCTTTCCCCCACAAAAACGGTCAGGCCGGCATCTAGCCATCCGTAGGACCACGCGATGAGGCGGAAGAAGAAGTTGGGGCTCGGGACGCTCCGGACCTCCAGCACCACTTCCCGGCGGCGGCCGGCAAACCAGTGGTTCTCCCACCAGAGGGTCGCGCCCGCCTCCTCCTGCTCCTCCTCCGTGGGGGTGGGAGAGGCCCACTTCAGCCACTCCACGAACTCCTCCGCGGGAATTTGCTTGGACCAGGGTAGCCAGTCCCCCGGCTGCGGAGCGGGGGAGGTGCGCCCCCCGCGGAGGGCCGCATGCGGCGGGGGGACGGTCCCCGAGCCTGGCCCCGCAGGTGCGGGTGGTTCGGCGGGGGCTGAGAAGCTCCACCAGAACGGGGTCGGTGTCCCACCTGGGGTGTTCTTCGGCGGGGTCGGCGAGGGCGCCCCCCCTTCGACGGGACTCACCGCCGGCGTGGCAGACGGGGGGGCTGGCGCGCGGGCCCCCCCAAGGGAGTCGCCCCAGCGCACGGGCGGCACGTCCGCGCTGGTGGGGCTGGCCTGCGGCGATGCCGGGGCGGACGCGAACGACGCGAGTTCCCCCCACCAGAAGGGGGTAGGCGTGCCACCCGGGGTGCTGCCTTGGGCCGAGCCTCCCGCCCTGGCGGATCTCCCCGGGATGGGGGAGAGGATGGGAGTCAAAGTAGGGGCGGCGAGGTTGGAGGTGGCGGGGACGTCCCCTCCCTCCCCGAGAGATAGCTCGGGGCGGTTCCCGGCCTGAGCGGCGGCCGGGTCTGGGGCTGTGGGGGCGTCCAGCCCAAGGGCCCCCTGTCTAGGGGGAGACTGCTCCTTGGGGTCGCCACCCGGATAATGCTCTAGTGGATCAGGTGGGGCGTCATCCAGCCCGCAGGTGATAGGGTCCCGTGATAGCCAAACGGGGTGCCCATATCCCCTCCGCGCCCCGCGGGGCGGGTGGGCCCCTGCGGCGAGACGGCCCACTCCACAGAGGGCCGAGGCGGCCGCACCCAGCGGAACCGCCAGCCAAGCCAGGCCAAACATGAGTTGAGGGGGCACCCCCTCCGCAAAAGCACAGCTCGAAGCACAGACGGCTGCGAAAGAGGGGAAAAGGAAAAGGGGGAGGGAGCCAGAGCACTACGGCCAGGGGGAATAAAATCGTTTAGGCGCATGCCAAACGAGACCAAAGGAATTCGGCACGCGCGCGCGACGACGCGCGCACGTGCAATTCGCCCTATTTGTTTGCACGGGACCCTTGAAAACTGACGCTGGTTGGTCAACGAATGCGCGCGCATGGAACTTTCTGCAGAGGAGGGCGGGAGGCGTCGATGCCGCCCTGGCTGGGACGGCACGAGCTCAGAATTCACATTTAGGATGGACGATGGGACATTTCATTGCGAAAGGGGGAACGGACGACCCTAGGGGGTAGAGATATATTTCTAAGCCCGGAGAATCTGCGCGGCACGGTCTAGGTGCCGCAATTGTTTTTTCACAAACGAACTGACACATCCCATGCTCTTGCAAACATCCCATTGACCCACCCGCTAAATGGTTTGCTAAGCGCATGCGGTGGCGACTGCGGCGATGCATGCTCGGCGTTGGCCGGTGCATCTCTGCGGCCGCGCCGACCCGAGCGCGCGCGCAGCGGCCAGCTAGTTTGGCGCGACCGACGCGGCCGCGGCGGCGCTGGCCCCGGGAGGCGCGCCAGCGGGCACTTCACTGCGAGTCAGCGACTTGGGCGGGCGCGGCATCATGGCAACGTCGACAGCGGTAGACGCAATGTTGCAAGTAGCGATGCTGGCGACGATATTGACAACGACGAGAGCGCGGCCAACGCGGGCGCCGATGCTGATCGCGCCGACGACGACGACGGCGCCCTCGCGTCGGCGACGAAGGTTATGGGGAGAATTCGACGCGAGCGCGCGGCCGACGCGCGAGAGCGGCCCGCGTGGCATTATTCGCCACGGATCATGCCCCCCAGCACGCTTGCAAGGGCGCCCGCATGAACGTCGAAAAGTTCACGGTTTTCTCAAGAATTCGCACGAGCGCGAGCGCGCGCTGTTTTGAAAACTGGCGCTGCGAAACCATGTGCGCGCATGTGTGTGATTTGGGCACTCGGTTTTGGAACCGCTGCGAAGGCAACGGTGTTTGACGGATTCCGGCACGCGCGCGCGACGACGCGCGCGCGTGTATTTCGTTCTATACGTTGCAAAGGATTCTCGCGACGGCCCGCGCGCAAGGGCGTTCGAGCGATTTCGACACGCGCGCGTGACTACATGTGATGCAATCTATGCGGCGCAGTTTCTGCGGCGCGATCTATGTGGCGCTGTGAATGTTGTGCGACCTATGCAGCGCAATAAATGCGTTGCTATCGGTGTCGCGCATCTACGCGGTGCAATATATGTTGCGCAACCAACGCGGTGCAATCACACAGGTGCAATACACCAGTGCTCAACGCTCAACTTGAAAATATCCACCCCACTGCTCGCGCAAACATCCCAACCGCCCGCCCGCGACTTGGCTTGATAACCCCGCTCGGCGGCGATTGCAATGAGTAGTTGGCGCTTGCTGGTGCATCTCCGCGGCCGCGACAGCCCGCGCATGCGCGCGCGCAGCGGCCAGCTAGTTTGGCGCGACCGACGCAGCCGCGGCGGCGCTGACCGCTGAGCACATCCCAGCGGGCACTTCAGTGCGAGTCGGCGACTTGGGCGGGCGCGGTACCATAGCAACGTCGACAACGGTGGACATGGCGGTGATAGCAGCAGCGCTGGTGGCGATGATGACAGCGGCAACGGCACGGCCAGTGACGGCGCAGATGCTGATCGCGCCGACGACGACGACGACGACGGCGTCGTCGCGTCGGCGATGAAGGTTGCGGAAGGAGCTCGATACGCGCGCGCGGCCGGCGAGCGAGAGCGGCCCGCATGGAATCATTTGACGCGGATCGCGCCCCCCTCACCCCCCCCCAAAAAAACAAAAAACACGCGTGCAAGGGCGCTCGAATGATTTCGTTATGCGGCGCGAGAGGCCCGCTGGGCAGAATTCCATGACATTTCGAAAAACCACGGCTTTCTTAAGAATTCGCAAGAACGCGCGCGCACATTTTTTGGGATGCGAAACCAAATGTTTTGTATATGGCGTCGGGACACTCGGTTTGGAAATTCTTCACGAAACCAAGAAAATTGTTGACGGTTCGCGGCACGCGCGCGCGCGACGACGCGCGCGCGCACTGTGCCCCATCTTTTGCATAAGATTATTGCGACAGGACGCGCACAAGGGCGCTCGAACGATTTCGACACGCGCGCGCGAAGGCCGTTTGGTAGCATGTTCTGACAATCTTGAAAATCCTACGGCATTCTAAGAATTCGCAAGAGCGCGCGCGCAAGCTTCCGTTTGAAAGTCCGCACAGCGCAACCGTGTGTTTATATGTGATTGGACACTCGATTTTGAAATCCTTGCGAAATCAAAAGGTGTTTGAAGGATTTCTGCATGCGCACGCGACGACGCGCGCGTGTGCTCTTCGTCCGATTTGCTGCAAGGGATAATTAAACACTTGTGATTTGTGGTAAATGATTGCGCGCGCCTGAAAGTTGTTGCAAAGGATGACGGGGGTATCGATATTGGCCTGTCTGGGCTGGCACGAGTTCATATTTAGGATGGACGATGGGGCAGAATCATACGTCTCCTGTGATACGAACAAGGGTACGGAAAATCCCAGGGGCGGTACAATCTAAGAAATGAGGATTCACTCTGCCGAACTTGAAATTGCCAACTCCACTGCTCGCGCAATCCCCCAGGACCCCTCCCCCCGCCTTCCCCCTGTGGACAAGGGGACCACCATACCCCTTCCCGCACCACCCTCCCGCCCCAGAGCCGCCCTCCTCACTCTCATCCGCTGTTGCCGGGGGGCCGCGTGTTTTCCTACATGCATCCAAGGGGCCTCAGATCTGCTCTTGCCCCGAAGCGGCACCAACTGGCCACGGAGCTTCCCAAAAAGTCCCCCAAGAGGCCCCCCAACAGAGAAGAGAACCCCAAGAGGGGCTCCAGAGCGTCAGCGTCGTCGTCGTCGACGCCCCCGCCGCCGTCCCCCTTCAGGGTCGTCGGCACCGGCCGCAAGGCCTTCTGGGGAAGGGGTGGGCCCATGGGCCCTCCCCCCTCCGGAGGCGCCCCCCCCGCCCCCCGCCCGCCAGAGGGCGGTGGCGGAATCGCGAGGCAACGCAGCTGGATAACCAGAAGGCCGCCCAAAAACGGCTGCAAGACGCCCCTGGCTCACCGGAAGACGGCCGAATGAGCCCTCAAAGGCTCCAAGGTCTCACCAACATGTCCCAAGAGGCCCCGAGAAGCCTCCAAGAGACGCTCACAACGGCCTCCAGCGAGGTCCTACGAGACGAGCCGAGCGTCTGAAAATCTGAGGACTATCAATGTCTTGGGCCCGAGGCTTCTCGGCTTCAGATCTCCGTGAGAAATCATCAGGAGCCTCCAGAAATCCCCTAACACGGCCCAAGGCTACCCCGCGAGAGCCCTCAGGTGGCCCAAAGACTGCCCGAGAACCCTCAGAGACGGCCCAAGAAGGCTCCAAAATCCATTCACACGTCCCAAAAATAGATCTAGCGAGCTCAGTAAGAGAATCGCGCCATGGACACTAGCCTCGTAATTCCCGATGGGCTACACACGGGCGCCCAAAAGGCACCCGAGAGGACCCGAAGGAGGCCCCCGAGGAGGCCCGCAAGATGGAAAAAGCGCTGCGGGCAAAGAGGGCGCGGGGAAGCCCCGCGCCAGTTCAGCCACGGGCCTTGAACTCGACCTCCTTCATGCCGCGCTGCTGCGCCGGCGCGGCTTGCCGCAGGCAGCTAGATTATCAGCAGTCTCGTTTCCTTCGTATGACGTATTCGTGAGGTTGCCGTCCGAGACGTTCGCTTCCTCAGTCTCATTGCCATACGAGGCGTTATCGTCCGTCCCATTCTCGGCTGTGAGATTATCGGCGGTCTCATTTCCTGCATCTGACATGTTAGTGAGATTGTCATCCGAGACGTTCACCTCCCCAGTCGCATTGTCATCCAAGCTACTCGCATTTGACTCATTCAGTCCGGTCACGTTGGCATCTGACGAATTATCGTCCGTCGCATTCTCAGCTGTGGCATTATCGGCTGTCTCATTTCCAGCATCTGACATATTCGTGAGATTGTCATCGGTGACGTTGACCTCCTCAGTCGCATTTCCAGCCGAGAAGTTCACCTCAGTCGCATTTTCATCCAGACTGCTTGCATTGGTGTCCGACTCATTGAACCCAGTGACGTTAGCATCCGAAGCGTTATCGTCCGTCGCATTTTCAGCGGTGAAATTATCGGCGGTCTCATTCCCTGTATCTGACATATTTGTGATATTGTCATCCGAGAGATTAACATCAGTTGAATTGCCATCCAAACTGCTGTCTGACTCGTTCATCCCAGTCAAATTTGCAACCGACGCGTTCTCGTCCGTCGCATTCTCAACAGTGAAATTATCGGCGGTCTCATTCCCTGCATCTGACATATTTGTGAGATTTCCGTCCGAGAGGTTCACATCGTCAGTTGCATTGCCATCCAAACTGCTGTCTGACTCATTTAGCCCAGTCATGTTGGCATCTGAAGCATTATCATCCGTCACATTTTCAGCTGTGAAATTGTCGGCGGTCTCATTCTGTACATCTGACATATTCGTGAGATTGCCATCCGAAAGGTTCACATCCTCAGTCGCATTGTCATTCAGACCTGCGTCTGAAATATTGAGCGAGGACAGGTTGGCATCAGAAGCGTTCTCGTCTGTCGCATTCTCAACAGTGAAATTATCGGCATCAGACATATCCGCCAGCGCTTGCAATTCGTTAGGCGTGAGTCAAAGCGTCGGCAAACCTCTCCGTATTAAATCATGTTTCTGTTTTCTGCGGGTGCCACCGATCCCCCACCATCGCCTCCTCATCTCGCTCTCGCCCTCCAGCCCGCCCGCAACCCCGCGTGACGTGACTTCACCGTCAGCCCGATCCTCATCCGGGCCTTCTCAGAAAGGGTGGAAGTCCCCCTGCCTTCTGAGAAGTTCTCTGGGCCTTCCCCGAAGGAACCAAGAACCTCTCAAAGGCCAGAGGCCTTCTGAGAAGCCCCGCCGCCTTCTGAGAGGGCCTTCCCCTTCTCACTTCCCCTCCCCGTGGGCGCCGCATCTGGTTTTTGGACCACAACTCGGCTCTCCAGTGGAGGTTCGGGCCGATCCGGACCCCCTTGGAACGCTCTCGGCGAGGCGCAGCCGCGGGAACGCATCTGGAGGGCGGCAGGCTGCCAGAAACCGCGAGCACGCCCGCACACGTTGAACCTCGAACTCCAAAAAACCTCCCGAGCGCCTCCCGAAGTCGTTTTCGCGTCCCCCCCCCTCTTCGCGCGCCGCCGAAGGCAGTCCCGGGCACGCGCACACCCTGGGGTTGAGTCGGGCATGTCCCCCTGCAGAGGCAGATTTTGGATGAAAAATCAAAAATCGTCCCCTGACTATTTTTCACTGTTGTTGAATGTCCCCCCTGTAGAGACACAAGCCCGAGTCAACCCTGGGGCGCGACGGCCCTCGCGCCCCCCGCGCCGCGGCCCCATGGGCGCGAGAGGGCGCGGCGCGAGGGCGCGGCGCGAGGGGCCCCGCGCCCTCCGAGAGGTTTTTGTCGGCTTTCGGCGCCTTCGGTCTGAGGCAATCTCGCCTTCCTCCCTCCCTTTGAGGAGCGATTGCTCTCTCGAGCGAGTTTTGGATTGCTCGCAGAAGTGTAAGAAAATTGCTCCGAAAAAAGGGAGGAGAAGGGAGGCCCTCCCCTCTCCTTTCCTAGTTTGACAGCGCCCGTTGCAAACTTGCACTTCGCGATTTCCGTTCGGTTGCCAACGTCGCAGCCTGCGTTTGCCAGCGCGTCCTACCGGATGCACGGCGGAGCGAGCGAGCGGGGCAGGCTCGGAGAGTTTGAGCGGGGCTGGGAGGCCCAGCCAGCAGCTTCGCCTTAGGCGAAGCCAAACTCCAGCTCCGCTGCACCGTAGTAAGGATAGTCCCAATAGGAGAGGATGTGCCATCTTAAACAATAGGAATATCCTTTTGGTCTCGATAGCGATTACGTGCCTCGCAGTGAGGCGCAGTCATATTTGGGCGGCCGGCCGCTTGAGCCGACGTGGCCGCGGGCGCACACTCGCTTCCACACCTTACGCCCCTCAGCTCGCTTTAGAGTCGGCGGGGGAGGGAGACGAAGCGTGAGCCCGTCCCCCCTACGCAGCAGGCGCAGCAGCTAATGTACACAAGGACAGAAGAGGGAGCGGGCCAAAAGGAAGGTGGACCCGCTCGCAAATTGCCTCGCTTGTACAGCTCTGTACTTGACGCACTCATCAGGACGCGTCAGAACTGGATGCCTGGCCGGCCCGACATGGAGTATGTCTCTTCAGGTCATGCTTAAGGCCTGTATACCACCCATGACTTGTAGGAGCATTTATCTGTCGATGTTCCCCTTGGTGTGGCCATCCGCGGTCATATCGCGGGTGTCGCACCACTGGATGCTGTGCGCGATTCCACGCTCCATCACCTGTCGTATCCAACTGATGTGTCCTAAAAGGGTACACTCAGTCGGCTTCTTCAAGACTTTGTTTGACAAGGACTTAAAGACAGACTCAGCATTGATGGTCAGGTGACCTTGATGCGCAGGCCACCCAACTCAAGTATATATTTCAACTGAGTGGGCGTGAGCGACCCTGCGTGGAGCTCGCGCAGAGTCACAATCGTAGGATAACAGTCCTCCAAATTATGGGCTGCTGCTAAGTGTCTCTGCTGAGTAGCTCGAGCGGACCTGCAAGCGATGAGACTTGCAATGCGCATCGATCAATTGAACGACAGGTTTACCGGATGACGCGTTTCCACGTCGTAGCAGGTTTGCCCGCAGGCGTCGGTATCCTGAGTCACTACGCAGGTCGACCTCGCCCGTTGGATATCGCCTGGTAGACGATCTTGATTGGGCAGGCCTGTAGCTTCCTGCTGATCGCGCTCAGTCCTCGCACTTGGATGTTGGTCGGTTCTTGGACACGTTGTAGAGAGACAACGTACACCATCAACCACACCTGGGTGATTAATGCATACGCCAGCGCACCCCTGAGGCTGACGAACATGTCTGCAACCATCTTGGTTGCCTGAGCGTCAGCGTCGGCGCCGGTCAGTTCAGGATGTTGTATAGGACGGAGCTGTTTGATGTATTCATCTTGATCCAAAGTGGCACTGCCGTCTTCATCTTTGGTGCATCGCACAGCACAGTTGGTGCACGTGTGCTTGTTAAGTTTACACTTACCAAAGGTATCTTCTACGCCCTTGACAGACTTGTCAATGGTGTCCTCAGCACCGGCCATATTGATATCAGCAACATGCTTGGCCGCGAGCAAAGCGTTGCTCGTCTAGAACTCCTCGTCGTAGGACGTGGGTCGGAGACCGAAACCACTGGTGGCCCTTCTGAGATTTAGTGAGAAAGCCCGCGGTGCGTCTTTGGTGTCTGTGCCTGGTTTCAAGCACTGCAGGCAGTGCTTCGACTCATCGCAGTGCTCGAACCCTGGGAGAGTTCGGAGCACCGTGGCCGATCCAGGCGGCAGATGAAAACACACCACACGTTCCTTTTCACCAGTAGCCTCCGCAAGTTCCTGATAGGCCAGTCCCTTCAGGAAGGTCATGTTGATGTCGAGGGAAGCAATGACCCATTGCTTCTTGCACGCTGCCGTGCTAGCGAATAACCTATGGCTTGACCGTCGCACTGTTCCCGAAAATGCTTCTACGTCGAAGGCTTCAAGGTCCATGAAACCTCGGAGAACCAAGCGTAATCTGATGGTACGTTCCATCTCGCCCTTCTCGTTCTTCACGAACTTCCATTTGCACGCGTATCTCGAAGTCATGATGTTCGATGCTTTAGCTATACCTTGCATATTGAAGCACTTGTTGTCGAACCATGTCTTGAAGTCAGTGTAGAGAGGCCTTCGATACTTTATCGGGATTCGCCTGGACGTGAGCTTTCGCGAGGAGGTCGTCTTCCATGACGACCGCAGCTTGCTTTGCAGCGGCGGTTACGTATACTCGCATAAAGGCAACCCGGTCGGCATCTAGTATCATATGTTGTTCGGACAGGACTACCTTTGACATTTCTGCCGTAAAGCAGAGTTCGACATATCGACCATATTCATCTGAGCCCAGTCCGTAGCTGTCGTCTTCGACCATGGTGCACATTGGGACGTAGTACGTCTCCTCGGTATCGGAGTCGTGAGTGCGCCCCCGCTTCGGCAGGTGTCCCCGCTGTTCATCAGCCACAGTGATCAGCGCACCTTGATATGGAACCATCTGTGCAGGCATGGCGAAGAGGTCCTCTGGTGGAGTTGCCTCCAACAGTTCCCATTCCTCTCGTAGTTCTGCGCACCACACTTCCATAACATGCGACTCGAGATCAGCCTTTAATTTTTCGTAAATCGTAGAAAGCCGCCCATCATCATGCGGTGGATCGGCTTCTGAGGCTTCTCTCGTGGTCCCCTCCGGTGTCGGCGCATCTGCCAATTCCTCAAATCTTGACATGTCCTGATCAAAACCTGCTCGAGGTTTGGAAGACTGCAGGCATTTAGTAATTCTCGAATGTGCTGGTCCAGTTGTATCATGTATATTCAGAGCAGCACCGTCTGCTTCACAATAATGGAATCCTGGATTCACGTCGTTGTCGTAATGGGCCAATGTGCAGCTGTTAGCATAAGTGACCGGAGGCAGCTTATGGATACTCTTTGGCTAGCCCGACTGAACCAACATTCTCAATGCGGAAGAAGTTTCTGATAAGGCACTGTAACGCTAAGTGTACCTTAGGAGGCAGACGGCTTGCACTCGTCATCTGAAGCGCCCCTTTCTTGCCGGGCAAATAGCCAAAGGTCAGAGCAGGTCTCCCCGCCGATAGGCTGGCCACGAATGCAGTGCTACCTATACGACCACCCTTCGGGTGATAAGGAGGCTCGGGGGGGGGGAACCAACGTCTCACTCGATCGGTCTCACTATCGATCTCACAATCGATCTCACTATCGGTCTCGTTCGATCGATCTCACTCGGTCGATCTCACAATCGATCTCACTCGATCTATTTCATTCGATCGATCTCACAGTCGAAATGACAATCGACCTCACAATCGATCCCACCATCGATCCCACTATCGATTTCAGAATCGATCTCACATTCGGTCTCAACATCGATCTCGCTATCGATATCACAATCGATCTCACAATCAACGTCATCATCATCACCATCATTATCATCAACGTCATCAACATCGTCATCATCATTGGGGCACCTTCATCATGACAATCACCTCATCACCATCATCACCAACAACATCATCATCATCAACATCATCATCGGGACACCATCATCGTCACCATCCTTATCATCAAAACCATCATCATCGGGACACCAGCATCATCATCATCGGAACACAACCATCATCATCATATCATAACCAGCATGAACAACATGATCAACATCATCGTCATCGGGACACCATCGTCATCATCAGCAACATCATCAACATCATCATCATTACCATCGGAACACCATCATCATCGTCACCACCATCATCATCGCCATCGTCATCATCATCGGGACACCATCATCATCAACATAAGCATCATCATCATCATCGGGCCATCATCATCAAAATCATCATCATCAGGTCACATCATCATCAAAGGGACACCATCATCACCAGCATCATCGGGACACCATCATCGTCATCATCATCATCAACATCATCGGGACACCATCATCCTCCCCATCATTATCAACAGCATCATCATCATCCTGCTGATCA